GATCCGAAGGGTCTCAGTAGTAGTGTAGTGTAGTAGTTTGGTGTTTCGTCCAACCAAGGTTGTTCTATTCGTTTCTTATTGCTTTAACAACTTTCTCAATCTTACTAATTTTCGCCTCGAAAATTGCCTTACAGTGATGAAAGACTGGAAATGTGCTTTCAACCAGCAATCGGGTGGCATGAGATACAGTAATGGACAACTGACTGTGCCTACTGCTGGACCGTATTATATCTACGCACAACTATACTTTCACACCAAGGGGAGGGTGGAGATTCGTAAGAATAACAAAAAGGTAACTATGCTTCAACCAGCTGAAGGCACAGGTTACTTACCCCTTTATACAGGGGGAGTGTTTCTATTAAGAAGAGGTGACGTCATATCGCTACATTCGAATCACAACGTCGTGATTTACATGTATTCTGCTCACACTTATTTTGGGGCGTTTTTGATTTGACCTTCACGCTAACATATAAAAGTCTAGGGAGAAATTGCACCATGATTTCAATAAAGGATACAGTCATATTAAAAAGGGGTCTAATTGTTTTTAGTTACGTTGTGTTGTAATTCTTACATAAGACCTGTTCTTTCAAATCTCCGAAAACTACCTAGCTAATCTTCAGTTAAAGTCAGTTAAAGGATTTATGGAACAAATCGTCTTTGAGGGTCATTGACACAATCTAAGCATCGACAGGTTGATAAGCTCAGTAAACGGTAAAATCCTAGACAAAATTTGCGTTTTGTCTTTCACTTGAAATTTAGAAAATGACTCAATTCTTGTACTTTTCGATTGGCTCTGGCGCTTTGGGCTATTATAATTTGACTTGCTACTGTGTATGTGGATGTGTGAGATTGCGAAATTTCCCTATTGCTTCAGTGACCGTAGTAGTATTATGTGATATCCATCACGTTTAAAACGATTGTCTTGGCACTAACGAATTTCTTTTAATTTTGAAAACCCCTTTGGGTTTTAAATCTTCTTTTGCTTTCAAAGCAGCAAAAAACAATCATGATCAAGAAATGAAGATTGTAGTTTTTTTTAGTACATGGTATGGGGGAGGGTGATGGTGGGTGGAGGATGAAAGGCAAAATAGGATATTCTTTGTTGTGTTCTTGGATGACAAATTTCGTTTTCTATAGGTCATC